ATAGACGGTACCGCCGGGTCGTACTCGTGAACTTCCATCGCCCTTCGGGTACTTCTGAAAAGGGGTTTTGTCCCCCGCCTTGCTTCGGGCGGGCCCTCCGTATCCCTGACTGCGCCTCTCTTCGTCTTCGTCCACCTAGGAGCGGAAGAGGCTGCTGGAACTCGGCATTACCGGGCCAGAAGGGCATGTCCTCAGCCGTCCCGAGGAGGTAACGTCTCCAGCCCTTCCGCAGAACCACCCAGGGCGTTGGCTTTAGCGGAGGTGCCCCGAGACGTTCTCTGCCCGTGTCCTTGTGTCCGCAGGTGGAAGCGGAGGCGGTGTACCGTGCAATCACCATCGCGAAACAAGCCAACTGCCCCTTGTACATCACCAAAATAATGAGCAGAGGTGCAGCAGACGTGGTCGCTCAAGCGAAGAGAAAAGGTAAAGCCTTGTTTCACGTTTGCGCGCTAATTGAGCCTATTTAAATATGTCCGGGAATATCATTCTAGCTGCAAGGTTTAAGAACTTGTTATCACCCAAGTTCTCTCACATTTTAAGGGTGCTAAAACTTGGTGTTGGCTTTTCTTTGCAGAGTGTGCCAGAGCTAATTGCTCTGGGCTGGAAGGATTTGAGGAGATGCATTTGAAACTTTGACACCTGAATCTCAGTAGGCACAGCTGGGAAAAAAAAAAGGAAACAATGCAGTTGCAATCATTTGTTGTGAACTAAATGAAAAATGGATCTGGAGCAAGCTCCAGATTGAAACTGGTGGTAGAGTGGGAAGAGCTGGAAGCATCCCTGCAGGGAGCAGGGCAGAGGGCCGTGCCCCGGGGCTCGCGGGGCTCCGCAGCCACCCCAGCCAGAGAGACGCTGGTTTGGCTTAAGGCAGGCGTGATGGTTTGAGATCTGAATGTAGGTTTGGTCTAAGGAGAAAACAGACAGATTCAGAAATTATTTTGACAGTGTTTCCCAGTCATCTGAGATAATCTAGAGGATTAACGTGGATTTAAAAAGCTGAAATCCTGGGAACACTGAAGATAAGTGAAACCGTCTTGTGTCGTTAACCGCAGGGTTTGTCTGCGGTGCGTGAAAAGAGGCCGCGGGAGACGCGGCACGTTCGCACTCACTAACTGATGGCTCTGCAGGCGCGGTTGTGTACGGCGAGCCCATTACCGCCAGCCTGGGCACCGACGGGTCACACTACTGGAGTAAAAACTGGGCCAAAGCTGCAGCTTTCGTCACGTCT